TTTATGATTCTATCGTGCGGCTCATTACTCACACACGATACTATCAAATATTTGTGCGAATAATTTATGGGCTATCTTCCTATAAGAATTATATATCTGCAAAGAAGTCAAGAACATTGAACGTCAATCAAAAGTAACGGTCTTTCAATCGCACACGCAGATAACAATCGCCACTCAATAGTAGTGATAAAACGAGTGAGACGCACTTGAAGACATATGATGTACATGGCTGAGAGGAATGTATTCATCGGATCTGCGGCCATCATCGGCGAATGGATCGCCACTCGAGTGGAACTCTTGGGCAGTTTGAATTCATCATCTTGCATGAACCATATACGTGACCACTGATCATCTTTGATAAGACGTGGCGCTACACTAAACTCAGCTCACAATTACTACTGCCAACTTCAACAACCAATCTACTGCAAATGTTCTTCAGAGCGATTTCTCATCAGTCATTCCTAATGCCACTAAAGTTCTCACCAACCTTGCACTCTCTTCTCTTGGTTTCAAGTCGAATCTATTAGCGATATATTCGTTCTTTTCAGGAAGCTGCAAACAACTCGGTACCATGTCCATCGCAGATCGCCACTCTTTAAGAGATTTCTGCAAAAATTTCCGGTTAGCTAAGAAAAGTCAAAATTTACGAAATTGAGTGATCGTAAGCAATTCCTAAAATCATAGGCAAACCAAAATTTTATGAAGAACACTTGCAAAAGAAAGTCACAGTGCTGGACGCGTTTTCAAGTGGTGAAAATGATACCTGATCAACACGAGTCTTTTTATACTCGGTTTGATACCATTTCTCACGAACGTTACCCTCTTGATTGGCGAACTCCTGCGAGACAACTGCGTACATCATGTTCTCCGGTGTCAATGCGTCCAGAATCTCATTGATTAAATCTGAAGCAAAATGCAAGCATGCACACTTTCTCGACACTATGCGACAACGTAAAAACAAAAGTGTGCAACTATCTCCATTTCAGTTTTGAAATCACAATACAATAATCAAAAACAAAAAAAAAATTCCAAACAAAGAACCTGGTTTAAATTGATCCATTTTATAATCAGCACAGACCACATCCTCGAAACCAATTCGTTGTAGCTCAGAAGATAATTGTGTCACATAATTCATTGGTGCTTCCTTATCCTTAAATCAAAACATGCTTGCCAAGTCAATCAACATGCAGTTATCACCAGTAATCATAATCATGCAACTATAACCTGCATCAATGATAATGAACAACGTCATGAATCACACCTGATGAGAGCTCACAACATTTATTCGAATGTTCAGTCAATGAAACGAAGCGATTTGTCTATGAAGCAGCTAACCTTAAAACGGAATTTCGTTTCAACCAATTGCTTCAACTCATCGTGTATCCATCTCAGTGGTCCATTCGATTTCACTAGGCCAATTTCGTTGAATATCAATCGTATTATGTCATCCGTGTGTTTCAGTCCTTCTGAAAATGCTTTCAATCAACAAAATCCACAACTAAGAATGCCAAAACAATGAGTATCGATATTCGCACGATTATTCAACACACTTTCAAAATCAAGCAATTGTTTCAATACTCTTACAAATCAAAAATTCATTCATCACTGAACAGCATCACCTAATGAAACTAACCTTCACTCAGATCAACAGAAATATTGAAAACGCCGAATCCATTCGCTATTAGACGACCTCCAGCCGATAACGAACTCACCCATCCCAGACGTTTCAGTTCTGATAACAACGATCCTGGACCTTCGTGGCCGATCAAATGTGCTGCAATCACTCATCTTTGCCGTAGAAAATAACTAGTCGATATTGAAATTTTATATTATTTACGTGGGGATATAGTCATTTATTTACGTGGACATTTACGTAGATATTTACAATAAACCGCCTCTTCAAATCATAATATTGAGTAAAAAGGTTTTTAAGGTTTTTAAAAGTTTTTTTATTGTTTAAAAAAATGAGAACTCAACAAAATTTCGAACAACTCACATATGTAGTGAGCTGGCTGTGCTCGATATTCGTCTTTGTAATCCTTCATCGGAAACATTAACGTCAAATATCGAAGATCTTTAACGGGCACCAACTGAAAATTTCAAATTACTCTTCGACTTGCAACGCTACAAAATAAATTAATAAGTTCAAGAAGAAGAGAATCCTTTTGAAAGTAATCGCTACCTGATGATCATATCTAAGATGACTACCAGTTCAACTAATCTGGCAATTCAATCGTTTTCTAAACTCGCAACGTGGAATACCATTGTCTCTGAGAGCAAGCGATCAAAATAACCTCAATTTTGACACCCAATTGATCACGATCGTACGGTCCCTCCTGCCAAACTTTTCGCTCAACATTTTTCGCCACAATATCGCCAAAATTCAACGAGACCACCAGATTTTCTAGTTCATCCAAACTCTCGGTTCCAATTATGCAACAACTCATTCTGAAAAGAAACGTTCACGACCGAATAACCAACACAATGATATCACGAATTCAGTATGAATCTGAATGAAGCGGCAAAATGAACAATTTGAAACATACATATCAGATGAGTAATAACGTTGATGAAACTTCAAAAGCGCCTCTCTTGGTTCAATACCCTTTTCACGTGCGTCTTCCAATAATGTCTTCTTACTGCCAGTTCCGAACTTCCCATAATCGTGACCTGGCTTCGACAGTGATCTAGAATGATGGATGGGAGAATGTCGCCCAATATCTTTACACATCTCAAAAAGTCACAGCTACTAACTAGCTGCTACCCTCTAAATATGACCAAATCCAAAGCAGCTGTGACCTGTACAAAATCTGATTTCCTCAATGAATCCGTTTCCAAGCACCTACTCTGTTCGTCAGTCTGATTTCAACCAAACCAATATTCCATTCCCATAGAGAGAATAAAAATATTCGCTAAGCCTACGATAAGTTGTCGTAATGTGTTTTGGTATCGAACATTCAAAAATCAAAACGGAAGATTGATGAATCAAAATGAATTCAATTCAACGGATCAATAAGTGATTACCTCTCCAACTGTATCATTCGCCACTGATCGTTCTGTAGATTGTTCGAATTTTCCGAATCCACTGCGCACACCTCACGTTCGGTAGCACTCTCAGTGAATTGTGGACACAAAAAGAATTGTACGAAACGATCCAGTGCTCCCTCAAANACTCAAAATTTAAGAATTCCCTTTCATAACTTCAAAAAATTCAAAATTTAAGAACACTATTGCACAAGTCCCTGAACAATGTCTGCATATTGAATAAATCACGACGAATCAAAAATTACGAGACTGATTCTAACTTTCAACAGTTCATATACATAAAATAATAATATGTTCAAAGTTCTGAATACGAACTCAAAATTGAATTCATTAAAAAACTGACAGGTAGGTGATCGGGCGCAATATCAAAATGATAATTCGTATGATCTGAACCAGTGAACGCATTCGTTATGCCGCCGTGTGATGAGATATATTTGCTGTACTCATTTTCGGACGGATATTTCGCGGTGCCCAAAAAGAGCATATGTTCGCAGAAATGCGCTAAACCTGGCAGTTCCCATGGATCCATCAAATGTCCTTAAATCAGCTCTTCTTATCTGTATGAATGATTATGAATTTGGGAACATCGAAACGTCAAAAAAATTCAGAATTTTGGATTTTTTCACGAAGAATTCGGCAACATTTGGAAATTTCACAATAAAATTCAACTGAAACAAGTTCCCGAATGTTCAACTGAATGAATTCTCACCAACGTTAACGTCCATTGAAGCTGCACTTTTATCAGCAGTCGGATCGGATATCAACAGAACGCGCAGTCCATTCTTCAGTTCCAAACCGCGATACTTAAATTATGCAAAATCAAACAACCGCATAGAAAGTTTACAATTTGACAATACAGAATGAGCTGATTGGAAAAATGGTTCGAATGGAATCATTAGCGTGTAAAAACAGCAAATTTCACGGCACTAAGATTTTCCAATTAAGCAAAAACGAATGCAGTGGAGTGGTGATCGGTATTTGAGTGAAACGGAAAAGATGCGAATGCGAATGGAAATAAGCGGAACCTCGCGTTTATCCTCAGCCGATTTGATAATATTGTTGACTCGGTGTGAAATAATTGCTTGTTTCTGAGCCGTCATCGTGGCGCCGCCAGTGCTCGAATAAGCTCTACGCTGATACGTTAGAAAGGTGCGCGAATATCTCGACAACAATCTGAAGGTTTGAACGTTAACAGAATATCGTTGCATTCGACAGTGCCCAGTGACATAACCATGGAACATGCTGAATTCGTTGAAAATCGAAACTGAATGAACGGAAGCGGTAACCTTAGTGATGTGGACGATTGGTGAGAGGAGAATGGTGAAAATAACGATGAATTTACTGAAACGGGAAGTTTTGCGCGACTCAATACCGCAACACTACGCAAACAATGCATTCAGTTGGAAATTTCTCAAATATATTTCAAAACTTTTGCACTGAAAAATTTCACTGAAAAGCGAACACTAAAATTTCGTTAACTGATGGCGTGAGCCAATGCTAAGAATTATGTTGTTGCTCGATGAAGTTTTCGAAATTTGCTACTTCTGAGGTGGTCTATCGAACTTTCCACAGAAATGAATTCTACTCGTGAACGTTCGCAATCGGTAGCGAGTGTGAAACAGAATGAAAATGTAAATTTTTGAAATATACATCTTTGTTTTACGCATTTTTACAAATGGACATCCTGCCGTTAGCCGGAAAATGAAAGCAGGAGCTTGAGCACAACTGGGTTTGGATAAATAAGGCGTTGGGATTGGAGTTAGACGGGGTTTTCGCTATCGAAGCGACGAGTGTTTACGACGGTAATATTCTAATATTCTGTGTTATGTCGAAGATGATAATTATGATCAGTTTTTGCAAAAGGAAAATGACTTCTCTGCCGGATCCTCGAGGATTGCGACTAGAAGGAATCTAAAGTCAACCAAAACCCCCGCGCCATCCTTGATTTTGGCTCAATACAATTGCCGTTTTTGTCGTTAATTACTAGTTAATGTGTTGGCGTATGCTTCAAATTTTCCGTCTTTTACCATACTTCTTTAATTTTCCATTTCAGATATTTGAAAGAAAATGAGTGATCTAAGTAAATCACAAGATAACCCGAGTCAGTCGGCAACATCCAGTTTACAGACATCGATTCTGCGCGCTTCAGCCCAACAACGTCCACTCACTGAATCTCAACATTCGGCTCTCCTTTCGAGTGGATCCGTTCCTCCGGGTAATGCGCTTCGGTGAGTTTCCTCAATGATTATTTTTTCCGTTCTGATTTTTCCAATTGATCACTTCGCCGCTGTGTCCACAAATGTATTTTAAAAATTTCAATGTATGCATACGATTGAATTCCACTGCAGTTTCTTGATTTGTTCAGTCATCGAATTAAGCAAGGTTCATAGAAGCAAAGTCTTTGGTGATATTTAATAATATCTGATAATCAAGTGGCACTTTCCTCGATAATGCTACAACGATGAATTCGATCAAAATTAAGTACGTTTTTCAGAGATTTTATGAATAACCTAGAAGAATTTGCGCCCACAATACCAGA